AATTTGAAGTGTATATAAAACATCCAAGGGGCAATGTTGAGTAACCACTGGATATATGAATCTAGATTTCAGGAGAGATGGACTGGAGATAGAACTTTAGGAGTCTCATTTAAGCCATGAGATGCTGTAAGATCAGCAAGTCAAATGTTAAAAAGAAGTGTAGGGACTGTGAGCCCTGAAGCACTTCATTGTTCCAGGAGTTGAGGGGGGAACCAATAAAGGAAACTGAGAATTAGTGGCCTAATAGGTAGAAAGAAAACTAGATGAAGCCAAGTGAAGAAAGCCTTTTAGGGAGAAATTAAAAATCATAGGCTACAGATTTGGCTCTGTGGAGGTCACTGGTATAGTGACCGTGCTTACTCACACGGTAAGCATGATTTTGGTGGAACAGTGAATGCAAAAGCCTGATTAGATGAGTAGGAGAGTGGGAAAGAAAGAAATGGAATGGTAGCCTGAGAAGGAATGGACCAGACTTTTTGTTTGTTTGTTTAAGATTAGCTAAATAGCAGCATGTTTGTATACTGATTGGAATAATCTAGAGGGAAAAGTTTTATTAAATAGTAGAGAGGGACAGTTGCTGAAAAAACACCATTGTGAGCTTATATGGGATCTAGTGGCCAGAGAAAAAGTTGGCCTATAAAGAACAAGGATAGTTTATGGTTAAAAGTAGGAGAGAAGGTCGAGTATATATAAGCACAGATGGATGTAGGTGACTGGTAGAGTGCCGATGGGAGACTGGGAGGTCTCTTTGCATTCTATTTATTTTGTGAAATAGGGTCATCCATTAAGAGTAAAAGTAGTGCAGGAGGTGTTGCCTTATGAGGACAGAGAAGAAAGTATGAAATAGTTTCCTAAGAGCTGGCCAGTGAATGGACAAGGGAAATGTAATTGCCAAGTAGCATTAAGGGTCTAATTTAGGTTAGTGATTAATAGTGATTGTGACTTTAAAGTGAGATCAGTCAACACGGTTGTGGGTTTTTCTCCCACAACCACAGAGTACCTGGAGAGTTGAATTTCCCAGGGTTGAGATTTAACCAAGCAAATGTGACAGTGAGAAGCAAGCCAAGGTTTATATGCATGTATCATGAAGAATTAAGACATGTTTTGAGTATTATTAAGAAAGAGTATTTCCTACTTGACTATGAAATTTAAGCTGGGAAACAAAAGTGAGGACATGGTGGGGATAAGCGACAGTAACAAGTAGCAGGATGAGTGGATTTTAGGTCCTGATAGATAATTGAGCTGTAGTACTGAAGAGAGTAAGCTGGAAAGGTAGGGATAACAGTTCCTGACTACTGGGATATATGGAGAAACATATAGTACAATGTTTAGAGACTGGACTATGGAATCAAGTTCTAGCTGTCACACCATGGACAAATTATCTCCATGCCTCCGTTTCCTCATGTGCGAAAGGGGATATAATAAGAATAGCTATCTCAAATGGTTGTTTTGAGGATTAAATGAGTTCTTACCCAAAAAAAAGAAACTCAATGCCGTCGAGTTGGATCTGACTCATAGTGACCCCTCCTTGGGTTTCCGAGGCAGTATCACTATGGAAGTAGATTGCCCAGCCTTCCTTCCGAGGAGTGGCCGGTGGGTTTGAACTGCCAGCCTTCTGGTTAGCAGTCAAGTGCCTTAGGCACAACGCCACCAAAGCTCCCAAATGAGTTCATATGTATGCTTTATTAGAAGGGTTCAGAACAGTATCTGACAGATAGTTACTATATAAGTTTTTGCTATCGTTAATTCTATTTAATGATTACAGTTATTGGTAATGACAAAATCTAGAGGAAGACAATGTAAGGTAATGAAATGGCTAAGCAGAGTGAAAGACAAAATCATTGGGACAAGATAAGTCAAGGAACTGAAAGGCCAATATTATTGGAAGGATAATCTGTGTGACTATTGAAATCTCCAAGAATTAAGATATGTTTTGAATATTATTAAGAGTATTTCCTATTTAGTAACTGGTAGGATTATTATATTGTTTTTGTATATTAATTGTGAACACAAATTAACTATACTTGATCTTAATAATTAAAATGTTAAAAATGACTATAATAAACTATGCCTTTTAATCTTAATATAGAATTATTGTTTTGCTAAATTGAAAATTTTTCCCAAATGTGTTATCACAACTTTCTTCTATTTGTAGAATATGTTTCGACAGCAACAAAAGATTTTTCAACAATTTAGAATTATTCAGAGCCAGAGACTGAATACCATCAAACAGTTATATGAGCAGTACATAAAGGTCTGTTGTATTTGGTAGCACAAGACAGCCTTATAAAACAATGTATATATGGAAGTATTTTCATTCCAGATTTATGGGAAAAGACATTTTGGTTATACATTTTAAATTTGTAACTATATTCCATTTTGAATTCATTATTCCTTATATAACTTAAATGTATTTTTACTTTTAGGATTGGTCAGTAGTTTTGTAGGAATTACTTAAAAAATGATTACTTAAAAAATGATAAGTTGGGGATTTTACCAGAAATACATATATACGGTGCATAAAATTGATACTATTAACACTTTAATCTTATTTCCCTAAGCTTTTTTAGGAGAACAACAGTAAATATATAACTGAAAATAGAAAGTCTATAAATCATTTCTAGGTAGTATACCAAGGGAAAAAAAAAAAAAAAAACCCTGCCATCAAGTCGATTGAGACTTGCAGCTACCCCCGTTGGTTTTCTGAGGCGGTAAATCATTATGGAAGTATGTTGCCCAGTCTTCCTTCTGAGGAGTGGCTGGTGGGTTTGAACCACCAACCTTCTTGGTTAGCAGTCAAATGCCTTAGCCACTACACGACTACAGTTCCTTTTCCAGGTAGTATATTATGTGTCTTTGTGTCACTAATTAAATAGGAAATAAATGAAAAACCAAACTCACTGCCATTGAGTTAATTCCAACTCATAGCAACCCCCATAGGGTTTCCAAGGTGGTAAATCTTTATGGAAGTAGCTTGCCCTATCTTCCTTCCGTGAAGCAGCTGGTGGATTTTAACTGCCAGCCTTCTGATTAGCAGTCAGATGTCTTAGGCACTGAGCCACTACCCAACTAAAATTACTGCATATCTCTTATTTTCAACTATATTATTTTATGGTACATATTTTCTTCTAGAATTATTAGTGACCGAAAAAATGGCTTTACATTGCCAATTTAAAATCATAAGAGACAGCCTGGATGCATAATAGAATTAAAACCCTGAGTATTAAAATTTTGAGGATTGAAATTTATCTGCTGTCACATGTACAGATTAGTAAATGTTTCTGTGACACTCATCTCTTACTTATTCATGCAGATATATATATATATACATATTTATACACACACACACACACACACACTCTCTTATCTTTTGGTAGCTATTCATAGGAGTTCAATGGAATCCTGCATATCTTCGTGTTTCCTAGTAGAGAGCTTGCTGGCTTGCTCTAATGCTCTTTGAGAACCATTTGTTAAATGATGTGAAGGTTTGTAAAGTACAAGAAAAGATTTTTACTAAATGTTACCACTAAGGCTAGGATCTTTGGTATTATGTTTGACTTCTTCATCTCCCTTATCCTTCACATCACTAAACTCACTGCCATTGAGTCGAATCTGACTCATAGACACATTAGGGCAGGGTAGAACTGCTCCATAGGGTTTCCAAGGCTGTAAATCTTTATGGAAGCAGATTGCTACTTCATCTTTCTCCCATGAAGGGGCTAGTGGGGCTCGAACCATCAACCATTTGGTTAACAGCTGAATGCTTTTAACCACTATGCCACCAGAACTCCTCTCACATCCATTACTAGACTCTAATTTTCACCTCTGCAATGGGTTATGCAATTTCTTTCAATTCCCACTGCTAACCAACCTAATTCAGGACCTCATTCTTTGCTTAAAGACTACTGAAACTCTTTATCTGTTTATCCAATCCATCCTTTATAGATCTGCCATATTATGCTCCTAAAACACATCCTTTCTCTCTTGAAAAACTAATTTTTCATTTTCAATTCTTAGGTATTTAAGATTTCACCTATAACATGATCCCATTTTAAATTAAGCTTCATTTACCAATTACTTTTTCTGAACTAACTACCATGTACTTCTATTCTTTTCTTAGGTTCTTTGAAAATATATTTACTTCCTTTTTCTTTACCTATCTAAATTTTACTCTTTTGTTAGCTAAATTGGAATCAATTCCTGTTTTCCACTATAGCCACAGCAAGTTGCATTTCCATAACTATTTAAAAATTTCTGTGTTTTAAAAAATTGTTTCTTCTCACTGGAATATGAGGGCAATCATGTATTATTTGCTTTAATTCCTCCATAGCACTTAACATAGTACTTTTAACATAGTACACACTGGATAACTATTTGTTATATAAATATTAAAGATATGAAATAATTTTTGTTTTTCATAACTTGAAAGAGGTACAGGTCATTTATTACCTCCGATGAATTCATGTCACATTGACTAACCCACTTAGTCGTAAGTGGGTTATTACCTGGTACTTAGAAAGGTTATTATAGGTTTCTAAATATATATATATATATAGATAGATAGATAGATATGGGACTTCTTCCAGTCTTTTTCTTTTTTTGCTCCGTCTTGACCTTCACAGTTCATTAACCCATTGTTTCCAGTGAAGTATATTACTGTTATACTTCCTATAATATTATTTGACTCAAATCTCACTTTCAAAAAATTTTGGTATTTTGGTCTCCTTGTATTACTTAGAATTTTATTTGGTGGAAATAAAAAGCATGATTTGAATATTAAAAATTTGTTATTTTTGGAAAACATTTAGAGTTTGAGATGAAAAGTGGTAGTCTGTAACTGAACTAACCTTTTGTGTTTTAGAGTATAGAAGAGTTGGAGAAGAAGCATGAAAGTCTTCGTAACGGTGCACAAAATGAACTTAGAAAAGAAATGGCTATGATGCAAAAAAAAATTATGATGGATACTGTAAGTAGTTACATTTAAAACTGAAAAAATAAGGTTTAATTTAGGCATTGAAATATTTTATTTGCTGAAATATGCGTAACACATAACTAAATATTAAACAAATGTTTAATATCTCTTTTCATATAACAGCAGCAGCAAGAGATGGCAAGTGTTCGAAAGTCTCTTCAGTCCATGTTATTCTGATGACTCTTTGAAGAAAGGACTTGAACCTAAGTAATATGATACATTTATAACATTAGCTAAGGGGCATACAAGTCTTTACTGAGGTTTCAAAATTCTAGTTTAGATCTTAACATCCTGTTATTCCTTAGCTTGTTTGTTAAGTGCAAGATCTCCTTTCTGTTAACCCTAAATAAAATCTAAACAGTTACATGAGTAGCAGGAATCCTAAAGTTATATGTATCAAGCTTTTTAGCTCTTTGGCTGTAATACTGAATTTTTCTCCCTAATACTATCAGTAAAAATTATTTTAGATTTTGGCTTCAGTGGATCTCTATCACCACCAAAAGGTAAAAAAACACAAGGATGAAGACTACAGTACTCTTACTACTCTTCTTTAAGGGGGGAAAAAAAAAAGAATACAAAATATACGTACATTATTAAGCTACAGAGCAACTTCTAATGAAAATAAGAATTCAAAAGGAAATCTATACTATTGACTTGAAAAATTTATTAAGAAGAACTTAAGTTTGTATTCTAGAATAAATTAAACTGCTAAAAACTGTTAAGACAACAAATAAATATCAGTTTTAAGACACAGATTTGTGAAATGTCATTTTTACAAGACACCAAAATATCACAATTAAATGACACATTGTCCTTAGCAATGATTAAGAGCATTTCATTAACATACTTAATTATTTATGGTTTAAATATTTCACATCTGTCTTTAAAATAAACTACCCAGAATGTTTCCATTTTCAAGCTTAGTGTTCAGTGACTACAGGGAAATTTGATTTACATTCTTCATTTCCAAACTTGAACAAATTATACCTTATCTTTCAAAATGTATTTTTTTAAACATGGAAGATTATGAAATCTTCAGTTAGAAACATCTGATCTAAGAAATACTGTTTCAGTATTTGAAATAGGTCAGTTAATTTTTTATAAAATTGCTTTCAATGGCTCATTCAAAATAAAAAATATGCCCGTTAGGAGGAGAGGAGTGACTTTCTCCTATTTTTCCTCAAGTTTTAAATACTAATTCTTACTCCTATAACTCACCTTTCTCTTAGTTTTAAGGTTTTCCATGTTTTTAAAAACAAGCCTATCCTAGTTTTCTTTTTGTATCAGTGATAACTTACATAGGAAGAAGTTAGTCTTCTACCATTAATAAATACTTGACATAAAGGGAACAAATTGCTTCCTAAATTTTTGCATTGCATAGGGGGTTTTCCTTTTAAGCCAAAACCGATGTTGATATATAAATGTTAAGTATATCCAAACGTCTGTGAAGGTCCTTGAGAAATTTTACCCCTCTCTGTGTATACTTAACTTGAGTTTTTTTCTTTTTAAGGAATATCAGTTTTCACTGTTTAATTTAATATGCTTTTTTCTTGCTTAAGATAGACAGTACATTCAGTATTCCTTTATTTTTCTGATTATTTCATCGTATGGCATACAGCCTACAGAACTATTGAGTAAAATTAAAAACAGGGTCAGGTGGGATTCTGCAGAGTTCAATCACAAAGATCTTTGTGACAGTTCTAGTATTCATTAAAGGAGCAATCCAAGTAATTTCAAGTGAGAATGGATAGGTAAGAAAATTAGTACATAATGTACTTAACCCCCCTCCCCCCCCCCACAAAAAAAGGGGGCAGCTTAGTGGTCTAATAACTGATACTTACTTTATCCTCTTATATCAACTGAGTCAGTGTGTACATGAAGCAACTTTGGCTGATACTCTAAAGGGAAGATATTTTGCCATGTATTTTTAAGTTACTATTTTTCTTACATTTCAGTTGTGGTTTAGTTCCTGTTTTATTTTTCATAAGATAATGTTAGTATGTCTTATAACATTGTCTGATGCAATAATTACAGTATTATAAGCTGTGCACTTAATGCAGTACTGTGAGCTCACTTTTCAGTTTTTACCAATGAAAGCAAGCATCACTTTCAGACAGCTATAAAATCCTTTAGATCCTAAATTTTCCCAAAATGCCTGAAAGACTTCTCAGCAACAAAGAGATTGCTGTTTAGACTATACTGGTTCACTCTCTTACCCTCAGGTTGAAATTTCTTTCTTTGGTTTTGTTTCTAATTAATATCTAGATTGTTATATTTTTCACTCTAATACCTGTGATCAAAAATGGTGGTATATAATGAGGGCTTCATAACTTGAAATAGATATAATAGAATCTGTGGGACTTTCTATATTCACATATAATCTTATTTGATAGTATACTAGCCTCCTGCAAAGGGAGAATTTCCTTCACTCATAGGTTCCCCTAACTGCTTCTCCTCTTCTCCTTGGGCTATTAGTCAGTCAATATGCTTGTGAACCTGTTCAGGTGCTTGATGACATGAAGTCTTGAAGATACTTAAATGAAGGTGTCTTGAAATTTGCAGGCACAAAGCACTAAAGTATGTCATCATATCAAATGAAGCAATGACCTGTAGAAGCAAAAAAGAAAATACAAATGTATTATGGTCTATCTCTTCTGAAGCAGCAGCTATTTTTGTTTCCCCAAATCTCAAACCTTAACCTAAAATTCTTCACTGAAAATACTACGTTTCAGAGTCCATTCATTTGTTTCACATTTGACCCTCTGAAGGAGCCCTAGTGGCACAGTGGTTAAGTGCTCACCTGCTAACTGAAAGGTCAGTGGTTTGAACTCACCAGTGGCTTTATGGAAGAAAGATGTGGCAGTTACCATCCGTAAAAATTACTGCCTTGGAAACCCTGTGGGGCAGTTCTCTGTCCTGTAAGGTCACTGTGAGTTGGAGTTGACGCTATAGCAATGGGTTTTATATATAGTCCTCTAGCATATGCATGGTATTCCGTTGTTACAGAAACTGCAGCTCAGAAAGGTGAAAGAACTAGACTGGAATACCAAAGCTGGAAAGTTAACATAACCCAGGTCTTTGGACTTTACATTTTCTCAACTTTTTGCTGTGCAATGAAGCTTCAAATTTTCTAAATAAAGGGATTATCAGTCACTATCTTATAATCAACTCATTCCATCAGATTATTTATTATTCCTTTGAGATTAATTAATTTATAAGATGATAAAAGACCTGGAAAAGAAATCATAGTTGAGGGAATGTGTATGCCAAATTACGGTGGATACAAAATTAAGGAGGAACCACCATCGACTGAAAAGGATAATATATTCCAGCAAAACTTAAAAGTACAGTAATACTTCATTTATCCAGTACTGTGATGGAAGTGTTACCAATGATAATTTTTTTCTTCTCTCAGCTGGCTAAAGCTTCTCTCTTAAGGATCTGTATTTTATAACCATTTCTGTATTTCCTAGATTTTATAACCATTTTGAATAGAAATTTAAATCAGACTTAATTTTCAATGAAAATGTAACTGTTACTTGATAACTGAAGAGTCATCACTATGATAACAAAGTATGTTGTTGTTGTTGTTGTTGTTATGTGCTGTTGAGTCAGACCCGACTCATAGTTTCCGAGGCAGTATCACTACGGAAGTAGATTGTGCCATCTTCCTTCCGAGCAGTGGCCGGTGGGTTTGAACTGCCAGCCTTCTGTTAGCAGTCAAGTGCCTTAGGCACTACGCTACCAGAGCTCCCAATGATACAAAGTAAGCTATATTCATAAAGATATCCAGGGTTATTTACTTCTAGCACAAATAGTCTCAGAAGCTTATACTTGGTGGTACTGTCTGTTCTGTTTGTTTCTTCAACATCAGCTGACCATTCTTGATGCACTTACTCTGTCTAATTTGCTAGCACTAACCCCATCTAAGAAGCGCCATGGTGGCATAGTAGTTAAGCTCTCAGTGATTGAACCCACCAGCTACTCTGCAGGAGAAAGATATGGCAGTTGGCTTCTGTAAAGATTACAACCTTAGAAACCCTATGGGGCAGTTCTACTCTGTCCTATAGGGTAACTATTGAGTTGGTATCTTTAGCAACATTTTTTTTTTCCCTTTAACCCTACTTAAGGAGTCCTGGTGGCCCACCCAGCCACTCCATGGGAAGAAAGACCTGGCAACCTGCTGCCATAAAAAATAAGAGCCCAAAACATCATAGGGCAGTTCTGCTCTGTCACATGCATTGGCATCCAACAACAACCCCATGTGATTTGCCAGTTATCAGCTGTAAGATGGGAATAATTCTGTAATTTTAACAAGCTTGATTAAGTAAAAATCAGACACTAATGAATATTTGTAGTCTGGTGGCTTAGTGCCTAAGGCATTTGACTACTAACCAGAAGGCTGGCAGTTCAAACCCACCAGCCACTCCTTGGAAGGAAGATTGGGCAATCTACGTCTATAGAGATAACACCTCAGAAAGCCAAGGAGGGGTCGCTATGAGTCAAATCTGACTCAACGGCAGTGAGTTTGGTTTGGTTTTTGGTTTAACCAAGTGAAGTGGTTTTAAGATGGAGTCTCTGGGTGGCACAAACAGTTAATGTGCTTGACTGCTAATGGAAAGGCTGAGGTTCAAGTCCACCCAGAGACACTTTGGAACAAAGGTCTAAAGGTCTGCTTCTGAAAATCTAGCCTTTGAAAACTCTATGGAGCATAGTTCTACTCTGAAACAAATGGGGTTGCCTGTATCAAAAGTGACTTAGTGGTAACTTGTTAGTAATTCTGAGGTACATTGTTGTGTTTTAAGGATTTAAGTGGCTAGAAGGGCTGACTTCCAGATATGTGGGCTATTTCTACACAGAACAAAATAACACAACTTAAAGGAAGTATTTTTAAGTATAATTTGGAAACATTTACTGTATAAACTCTAGATGTTGAAGCTACTGATATCTCACTAAAATGACTCTTTAAGTGTTTATCTGACACCTGTTAAAAAAGTCTTAGCAAAAATGTGCTTACTTACCATTGCTATCCATAAGACAACATATTCATCTATAAAATTACTGAAGTACTGGTCTAAAAATAAAAGACCTGGCCCAATAAACACAGTGTCTTGAAGATACAGTTCACTTTTGGTCATATGAGCTACCTACAAAAAAGTAAACAAAATAATTTCACTATTAAATTTTCAGTGTTTTAGCTTTTGTTTTTAGGATTGAGAATTCATTATAACTTTAATTCAATGTTAAGACAGGTAGGGATAAAGAGACCATTTAATCTCACATTTCATACTGGAATAGATTCTAAATCTTCTCAAATTCAGGCCTGTTAAAGTTTTCAATATTTAAATTCCTTGATATCAAAGTTACTAACTTTTAATTACAGCTAAATTAATAATTAAAAGAACTTACTATGTAGTCTGTTTCCTTAAATATAACATTAACTCATAACATAGTATTACTTGGAGTACAAATGGCCAACCATTTATAGTGATAAAGATATCACAGAAGAAAACCTATCCATATGAAACCATTTCTAGCCCTGTGTTGAGAACCAAGCACATTATTTAGACTATACATCATAAAAGAATTTCTTACCACCAATTTTTGTGCGACTTTAGCAAAGACACATCCAAACATTAGGGTATAAAGACAAGGATGTTTTTCAAACACATTAGTTGCAGACTTCTTATAGATCATTATTGCCAGTATAATAATTAGTCCTATGTGGAGTCCAGGTGATAAGACACTAGTGCCCTAAAGGGTAAAGCAGAAAATCAGTATCACATTTAACAGTGCATCTAGTATACTGCACAAATTTTCTGAGCATCTATTTTGTGCTAAGAACCAAAAGACCTAAAGTAGTACACAGGTCAAAGCTGTGCTTTTCAAACTTCCACAGAGGTAATAAATACAGTGCCACAGATGTTTCATTACAGTTGTACATATACAGAATGTTTTTAATAACAGCTAAAATTAACACTGTGATTTAATCTGTACCAAGTTTTACTGTATTGTAGGCCATCAATATTTAAAGGCATTCCAACATTTTGATACAACAGTTAAGTACTTATCTTTCTGTGTTCAACCATCTTGAAGATGACAATAGGCTTTTAAAAAAATGACATTTATTTAAATTAAAAACAGGCTTTTAAAAAAATAACATTAAAAAAAAACCAACCACTTGGTAGGAATACTGACTTTTCCACTTAAAAGTATTAAAATTTTAGAATATATGAGTAAGTAGTAAAGTATAACATGAAGAAGGTATAAATGTACACACAAGTGTACCCATCCAACTTAAGAATTAACATTAAAGTTTTTATCTTTTAAGAGAACAGTTTTTTTTTTTTTTTTTATTGTGATTTGGGTGAAAATTTATGTGTTAGACTGGGTACTCTAGAG